TAGGTGCTACGCCACCTTATTTTTGGGCCAGGCCCATGTAATTTCGAAATACTTACGTATAGGTTGTTTTTAGAGTCCATATGTGTGGGGAAACAAGAGTTAGGGTTGGTTTCGGACCCTCCTCCAAGGGTCACGAAATTCCCCCTCTTCCTCTATATATACATCCCTTAGGGCATCGTTTAGACTTTGGGATTTGTTTTGTTAAAAGTTAGCCATTCAACTTCGTGTACTACATTTGTGTCCAACGACCAGACCAAGATCGCTTTCGGATCCCCACCTTTATCAATACTTCATCTATATTCACAATATTTAGATTGCATTATCGTATTCTTGCTTGTTCTTTGATTGCATGCAGGAATAGACCTTCAGGTCAGGCTGATTGTGCTTCCAGCATCATCAGTAACCTCAGGAGATTGGTTTAGCAATTCTTAAGGCGTAACGTCACGCACATTTGTAGTCAGATCGTCAAAGTCGGCCCCACGAAATCGATAGTTATCATCTCATCGAAAGATCGGGACCCTCACCTATATCAGTTATGGAATGACTAGTGCTACTTGTTAGCTGCATTGGGATTTTCTCAAAGAGGAGAGGATGAAGCAGTACAAAAACGATAAGTATTTCCCTCAGTTAAGAACCAAGGTTAACAAACCAGTAGGAGAACCACGCAGAACCTCGTTAATAGTACCTGCGCACATCAAAGCAAATACTTGCACCCAATGCGATCAAGGGGGTTATCAATTGCTACCTCTTGAGCACTGCGTTGGTTTTCCCTTGAAAGGGAAAGGGTGATGCAGCAAAGTAGCGTAAATATTTCCCTCAGTTTTTTAGAACAAAGGTATCAATCCAGTAGGAGGCTCCACAGAAGTCCCTCGTATCTAAACAAACAAGAACCTCGCAACCAACGCGATAAAGGGGTTGTCAATCCCTTCACGGTAACTTGCGAAAATGAGATCTGATAGAGATAATATGATAAGATAAATATTTTTTGGTATTTTTATGATATAGATGGAAAAGTAAAGATGCAAATAAAAGTAGATGGGAAACTTATATGATAAAAGATAGACCCGGGGGCCATAGGTTTCACTAGTGGCTTCTCTCAAGATATCATAAGTATTACGGTGGGTGAACAAATTACTGTCGAGCAATTGATAGAAAAGTGCATAGTTATGAGAATGTCTAGGCATGATCATGTATATAGGCATAACGTCCGTGATAAGTAGATCAGAGCGATTCTGCATCTACTACTATTACTCCACACATCGACCGACTCCTGCCTGTATCTAGAGTATTAAGTAGATAAGAACAGAGTAACGCATTAAGCAAGATGACATGATGTAGAGGGATAAACTCAAGCAATATGATATAAACCCCATCTTTTTATCCTCGATGGCAACAATACAATACGGGCCTTGATGCCCCTGCTGTCACTGGGAAAGGACACCGCAAGATTGAACCCAAAGCTAAGCACTTCTCCCATTGCAAGAAAGATCAATCTAGTAGGCCAAACCAAACTGATAATTCGAAGAGACTTGCAAAGATAACCAATCATACATAAAAGAATTCAGAGGAGATTCAAATATTTCGCATAGATAAACTTGATCATAAACCCACAATTCATCGGATCTCGACAAACACACCGCAAAAAGAGTTACGTCGAATAGATCTCCAAGAAGATTGAGGAGAACTTTATATTGAGATTCAAAGAGAGAGAAGAAGCCATCTAGCTAATAACTATGGACCTGAAGGTCTGTGGTAAACTACTCACAACCCATCGGAGAGGCCTTGGAGATGATGTAGAGGCCCTCCATGATCGATTCCCCCTCTGGCGGAGCACCGGCGAAGGCTCCAAGATGGGATCTCGCGGATATAGAAGGTTGCGGCGGTGGAATTAGGTTTTCATGGTGCTCCTGGATGTTCTCGGGGTACGTGGATATATATAGGAGGAAGAAGTAGGTCGGTGGAGCCACGAGGGGCCCACGAGGGTGGGAGGCACGCCCGCCCCCTTAGGGCGCGCCGGTCACCCTCGTGGCCGCCTCGTTCGCTGCTTGACGTCCACTCCAAGTCTCCTGGTTTGCATTTGTTCCAAAAGATCGCTCCCGAAGGTTTCATTCCGTTTGGACTCCGTTTGATATTCCTTTTCTTCGAAACACTGAAATAGGCAAAAAAACAGCAATTCGAGCTGGGCCTCCGGTTAGTAGGTTAGTCCCAAACATGATATAAAAGTGTAAAGTACAGCCCATAAACATTCAAAACGGGTAATATAATAGCATGGAATAATAAAAAATTATTGATACGTTGGAGACGTATCAAGCATCCCCAAGCTTAATTCCTGCTCGTCCTCGAGTAGGTAAATGATAAAAACAATTTTTTTTGATGTGGAATGCTACCTAGCATATTTCTCAATGTAATTTTCTTTATTGTGGCATGAATGTTCAGATCCAAATGATTCAAAATAAAAGTTCATATTGACATAAGAAATAGTAATACTTCAAGCATACTAACTAAGAAATCATGTCTTCTTAAAATAACATGGCTAAAGAAAGTTCATCCCTATAAAATCATATAGTTAGGCTATGCTTCATTTTCATCACATAAAATACTCCTATCATACACAACCCCGGTTTCAGCCAAGCAATTGGTTCATACTTTTTAACGCGCTTCAGCTTTTTTCAACTCTCACGCAATACATGAGCGTGAGCCATGGATATAGCACTATGGATGGAATAGAACATGATAATGGATGTTGTGTGGAGGAGACAAAAAGAGGAGAAAGACTCACATTGACGAGGCTAATCAACGGGCTATGGAGATGCCCATTAATTGATGTCAACATGAAGAGTAAGGATTGCCATGCAACGGATGCACTAGAGCTATAAATATATGAAAGCTTAACAAAAGAAACTAAGTGTGTGTGCATCCAACTTGCTTGCTCACGAAGACCTAGGGCATTTTGAGGAAGCCTATCGTTGGAATATACAAGCCAAGTTCTATAATGAAAAATTCCCACTAGTATATGAAAATGACAACATAAGAGACTCTCTATATGAAGAACATGGTGCTACTTTGAAGCACAAGTGTGGAAAAGGATAGTAACATTGTCCCCCCCTTTTTTCCTTTTTTGGGCCTTTTTTGGCCTTTCTTTTTTTATTTTTAGCCTTTATTTTTTTATAAGGGAAAATGCTCTAATAATGATGATCGTCACACTTCTATTTATTTACAACTCATGAATTACAACTCAAAACTAGAACAAGATATGACTCTATATGAATGCCTCCGACGGTGTACCGGATGGGCAATGAATCAAGAGTGACATGTATGAAAAATTATGCAAGGTGGCTTTGCCACAAATACGATGTCAACTACATGATCATGTAAGGCAATATGACAATGATGATGCATGTCATGATAAACGGAACGGTGGAAAGTTGCATGGCAATATATCTCGGAATGGCTATGGAAATGCCATAATAGGTAGGTATGGTGGCTCTTTTGAGGAAGATATAAGGAGGTTTATGTGTGATAGAGTGTATCGTATCACCGGGTTTGGATGCACCGGTGAAGTTTGCACCAACTCTCAAGATGAGAAAGGGCAATGCACGGTACTGAAGAGGCTAGCAATGATGGAAAGGTAAGAGTGCGTATAATCCATGGACTTGCATTAGTCATAAAGAACTCATATACTTATTGCAAAAGTTTTATTAGCCCTCGAAGCAAAGTACTACTATGCATGCTCCTAGTGGGGAGGTTGATAGGAGTTAACCATCGCGCGCCCCCGACCTCCACACATAAGGAAGGTAATCAAAAGAGCACACCATGAAACAAATTTGTTACATAACTTTTACCATACGTGCATGCTACGGGACTTGCCAACTTCAACACAAGTATTCTTCAAATTCACAATTAACCAACTAGCATGACTCTAATATTACAACATCTATATCTCAAAACAATTATCAAGCATCAAATAGATCATAGCATCCAATTGACCTCCTATGATAATTTTTATTATACCCAACTTGGATGCTCATCATTCTAGGATCAATTTTATAACCATAGCAAATACCATGCTGTTCTAAAAGACCATTAATATAATATAAGTGAAGCATTAGAGATCAACAATTTCTACAAAATCAAACCACCGTCATGCTCTAAAAAGTATAAGTGAAGCACTAGAGCAAAACTATCTTGCTCAAAAGATATAAGTGAAGCACCATGTGTCTCACACTTCAATTCGATGTGATGGGTGAATCGGACTCGTCCGAGCCTCCTCATATCTGTTTTAGATATGGTCTAAATATGAGGGGTGTCGGTCAGCCCTGACATATAGGATCAATACAAGGGGTGCGGGCGAGCTGAATTTTTGAGATCGAACAAGAACCGTCTACGACGTGGCACGAACGTGCCATACGTGTTCCATTTTCTTTGATCTCCCGACGATGGCTCCGTGGATCGTGATCTGGAATATATAGACTTGGTGGCAGCTCGACAACTTCCAAGGCATCATGGTCAACTTGAGCTCTAGCTAGCTAGCGACGACACACAAGTCTGACTTGGGGAGCAATTACTGCACACGGCAGGAACTGTGTGCCCAACAGTCGTACAAGAAACCAAAAACCCCGCGGACAGGTTTCGTGAACTTCGCCAAACATTGCATTAGCAAATGCGGTTCCCATCGATCACATGCGCTCCTCTCTCTTATCCAAACTTAATCGTCAGAAACGGTACGTACCGGCCGAATAAGCTCGTCAATAGTCAAAGGATGGATGGGCTGCACAACGTGTCATCACGTGCGATGGATAACGCGTTCACTCCTCCCCAATAGCAGTTCCAGTTCTCAACTTTCAAACAAGCAGTTCAAGTTCGTCGTCCGCAACGCCACGGACGCGCTATAAAAGGCAACACGGCGAGGGCGCCGTTCCTGCGAGTTCAGTCTTACCAAGCAGCAAAAGAGGGCGCAGTAGCTGGTCTCTCTAACGACAAAGCTTGTGCCCGCGGCAACGATGGCGGCTTGGGGAAGAGGCAATGCAGCGGGCAGTAAGGCGATTGTCGCCGGCGCCGCGTTCCTGTGCGTGGCCGCGATGCTCCTGGCGGCCACCCCCGCGGCCGAGGCGGGGGCGACAACGTACCTTGTCGGCAACGCCGCCGGGTGGACGCGCAACGTCGACTACGGCGGGTGGCTGGCCGGCAAGACCTTCCGCGCCGGCGACGTGCTCGGTACGTACCTCTCTCTGCAATGCACGTGCGAGTATAGCCTTGGACAACTTATCCCGATCTGACCATGCCGCGTGCGTATGTATGCATGCGCAGTGTTCAAGTACAACAGCACGTTCCACGACGTGGCGTGGGTGAGCAAGGGCGGGTACAAGAAGTGCATCGTGTCGCCCAAGGGGTACGCCCCGGTGTACCGCAACGGCTACGACGCGGTGGCGCTGCCCAGGGGCACGCACTACTTCATCTGCGGCGTGCCGGGACACTGCAGCGCCGGCATGAAGCTCGCCGTCACCGTCTACTGATCATTCGATCGTCGCCCACCTCCGGACTGCATCGAGTGGCGTTGACCTTGACGTCCTACGTCGCGCTGGCGTGTGTAATTTGTGTGTGCTTGCATTGCGATTTGTGAGTTTGGCGTATGCATCACATGGAATGAGTAAACCTGGTGTTTTCTCTCGTAATACGCCGATGCTTAAACTTCTCTCGCGTGAGCTTGTCGTCTTTCAAATTTCCAAAGATACTAAGCTCACTTAAAAGGAAGCTCTTTGGTGCATCCATGATCGTACCACACCCGGTTTTCTCCTCCGGAACATGCGCGTGGTGATTAGTATTTTGGTCGCCATTTCTTTATACAAACTCCAATTTAGGCATTGTTTGTATGAAGAAACGACGACCAAAATACTTAGATCTAAAGTTTTTATGTACCTTCTCCGATTTGAACCAAAATACAAGTTTTTATGTGCCTTCTCAAAATTAAATTTGATATGAAAACAAATACTCGGATCCTCCTACTTAATTACTTATCAATTTATTTTTATTTTTTTGTTTCTGTTTTTTTTTCTCCTAAAAGATGAGTACTCGCATACTTATATTCATAGGATAGTTAGAGAGGCTTCCACACCTTTAGTGATTGACTACTTAGTAGTGGGAGAGCGGTCCTATAAAATATTATTTGGGGTTCGACCAAGCAAGGAGTGAGGAGCTCTCAATATTTTTGGTGCCCCGTGCGTCCCTTTGAAATGTAATATTTCAACCAGTCCTTCCATTTTCTCCCACAATATTGAACAAGATTAGTTGTTCATGACATACTAGTCGTTTACTATTTTACTTGTTACAATGAAAACAAAGCGTGCTCAATGCTTATGCGAGAAAACAAAATTGGTCAAGTTGAGTCCTAACTTTGAAACAAAGTATGATGTGACCCATACTTTATGACTTGAGAGTTCCACCTATACTTTCTACTTAGCTAGAATATTTTTGGCTAATCTCTATACTCACTTTTTTTAAGCTAACCTAACCAAAAATAGTCTAGCATGTACGATTGAATACCTACACTTAACAATCAACACTAGTGGTGTGGACGACCCTACAATGATCTAAAGTAACAAGTATAGTAGAACTCACCCCAACTCATACATCTAATAGGTAACCTCTATTATTCCTCATTTTTTTTATAGAGAGACCATGACAATGTCTTGGAGATAATCACAAGACTTTTCCCGAGCTAGGTGAAAAATTGAACAAAGTACATAAAAACATTGACCGGACACTGTGGGGCTAAGAGCAAGTGATTCCCCTATACAAATACAAAACTATCACACCTAAGAAAGAATGTCAAATAACCACATGATTGCATAATAACTATGAGATAAAGATCATTGCGCAAGACTCTACACATGCAAAAGTAACTTCCCCCAAGCTTAAAACTTTGCGAGAACTAAGCTCAAGAAAATTATGAAATGAAAAGAAAAAATGCGGTTTATTAAAGGAGAGTATGTGAAGTGGTTTACCTCCCCAATCCTAAAATTAAGCGACAGTAATAAACTTTTACCGTTGAGGTACAAATGACCTCTCCTTTAATGGACATGTACCATTGCTTCAACGAAATTTTGTTGATGTGGCCCAGTGGTTGCCTTTCGATAGAACCTGCTAAAAATGTTTTATTCTCTTGGAAGTTTTCCATTTTTTATAGCACAAAGGGTTAGATCACAAGTGAGTAAAACAGTCTCATAAAGGCAGGTTCACCCGCCTAACCAGCACAATTAAGTTGATAAAGTAAGTCTAGGAGGATATACTCTCCTAGGTTGTATGTGAAGTGCAAGTGAGAGAAGATATATGAAACACAAGTGTGCAGCCTCCTACGCGCTTAAATAAAAGCGAGATCCCACTTAAGGCGAGAATCTCACTACTAAAACTTTTATTGAGCAATGTTCAAACTGGAAGGCAGTATCGGGTGCTTGCTGTTGAAAATTGTAGAACTGAAGCAGCGTGCGGTTTTTTATACGGTCCTCGCACTAGGTCCAAGCCTATGTGAAAATAACACATGAAATAAAGGAAGTGATTTAGTATACGAAATAAAGTTCCTATACCTAACCAAGCAAAGAGAATAAAAGAAAACATAAAGTACTACAGAGGATTATAGGCTAGAGAGCTTGGAAGGTAAATACTGAACATTAGAATGCAAATGAACGGTTAAAAAGTAACCCACTGATCTTGACTCGTCAGAATTAACAAAATGATGGGGTTTTGACATTGCTATGAGCGTGGGTACGAGCATCGGCTGGCTACACACTGTCGGCGTTCTGGATACGGTGGTACCCAGACTTGCCTGCATGCGGCCCACTGCGCGGCTTCATCGACGGCCTCGTACGACCCAGCTTCATCAACGACAGCTCAAGACCCTCGCCAGGCGGACGACGCCAAGACCCCCAAGGGGATCGGCCTCCTCAGGCTGACTCCCGAGGAGCGGAGAGTTCTATGCAAGGTGCACCTCACGAGGCTCAGCTGACGTGAGCCATGACGACCAAGGCCAGGCGGGCGCCAGGTGGGCACAGAGTACTAGTTTCCCCTTTGGTGCAAAGGAGGCAAGCGGCAGGCGCGGAGTCCCGAGAAATCAGTCAAATGTTTCCATTCTGGTGCAACAAAACCAAAACCGCCAGGACGGCAGGACAGAGGTCATCACTGAGCCCACCGCAGCGTCACCACCAGAGGCTTTTTTGCAGGCGAAGACCACTTTAGTCAGGATAGAATGTACTTCCCGTCCCCCTTCAAATCTGGCCGTTGTGGTATCCCTTCCCACCAATGTTTGGGAAGAGGACCAAGGTCACTATAAATAGGACTTAGCCACCATCATAGGGGATAAGCTCATCCTCACCCAACCACCTCACCAGCTCTCTTGAGCTCAAGAACACCTCATCTGCTGAGGCCAGTTCATCCACTATACTGGTTCATCCTCAGCCCTTCGAGGCAATCCACCAAAACGCTGGAGTAGGGTATTACACCGCAAGGTGGCCCAGACCAGGATAAACTGTTGTGTCTCTCTGTCCCTTTGAGCTCGACGCGCTAGGCTTTGAGAAATCGCGAGTAGGCAGGCTGGATAGGTTGAGATCTCCGCACGCACCCTAGAGTTCGAACCTATCAAGGGTTTGCGGAACCCGACATCCGACATTTGGCGCGCCAAGTAGGGGTGCGTAGGGGATCCGCTGCTCCGTCCGTCACATCATGCCGCCGGCTTCAATGGCGGGCACTCCTTCGTTGACTCGCCCGTTGCGACGGGTGGAGTGGACATCTAAGTTCAAGCAAGAGATGCTGCCACGCTACGAAGGCGCGGCGGACCCGAACGGCTTCCTCCAGGCGTACGAGGAGGCAGTCTGGGCGGCCGGCGGAGACGACAAGGTGAAGGCCAACTGGCTCCCCATGGCCCTCGTAGGCGCACCGCGCGCTTGGTTGCTCAACCTGCCGGAGTCCTCTGTGGCCTCTTGGGAGGAGCTGTGCGCCCTCTTCATAACGCACTTCGCGGCGCCGGCGCCTCCTATCATCGTAGCTCTCCTAGGTGGCTCGCAGGCACCACCCTCCGACCGGCACATGAAGCAGTTCTACCGCCAAGCGAGCGCCGCCCTGGTGAGCTCGGGGGCTCCTCCGGGTTGGGCGGCGCCTAAGGACGATCTCGCCTTCGGCCCAAAAGATCATCCAGGGAGCAAGGCGGAAGCAGGCGCGCTCCCGATACTCTGCACCCCCAGCACAACGTGGCAGTTACCAAGACCCTCATCGACGATGGAGCCGGCCTCAACGTGCTCTCCGCGGAGGCATTCAGCCTACTGCACGTGCCCCCCGACAGGCTCCGCCCTACCAAGCCCTTCTTCGGGGTCGGTAGTAGCTTCACCAGCCCCCTGGGGCAGATCCGTCTCCCAGTCACCTTCAGGACCCGCAACAACTACCGCACCGAGCTCATCGACTTCTACATCACCCGAATCGACCTGCCATACAACGCCATCATTGGGTACCTCGCCCTGGCCAAATTCATGGAGGCAACTCATCCAGCCTACAACCTCATGAAGATGCCAGGTAGCAATTGTGTCCTCACGGTGGCAGGGGACACCAAGGATGCGCTGCAGGCTCTCAAGCTCACCTTCAGGTCTGCGGCGTCCGCGCTGCCTGGCGAGAAAGGGGGTCATGAGGCCCCAGGGGCAGCACCGACCAAGAAGAAGCAGTTGTTCTCCCAAGACCGAGACAAGACAAAGCAAGTACTGGTTGATGAAGATGGGGCGTCGGGCGCCACCTTCACCATAGGAGCTGGCCTCCCTCAAGACCAAGAGAAAGCGTTGGTCCGCTTCTTGCGCGCCAACAAGGAGGTGTTTGCATGGGAGCCCAAGGACCTGGTTGGGGTTCCAAGGGGAATAATCGAGCATCACCTACAGGTATGCCCAAATGTGCGCCCAGTGAAGCAGAAGGCCCGCAGACAGTCCACCGAGAAGCAGACATTCATTGTACAAGAAACCCGCAAGCTGCAGGATGCTGGGGTCATCAGGGAGGTACGGTATCCGGAATGGCTGGCAAATTCAGTCGTCGTCCCCAAGAAAGGAGGGAAGAAACGCATGTGCGTTGACTTCACCAACCCCAACAAGGCTTGCCCGCAGGATCCCTTCCCGCTTCCTCGCATCGACCAGATCGTTGACTCCACCACCGAGTGTGACCTGTTATGCTTTTTGGATGATTTCTCGGGCTACCACCAGATCAAGATGGCAGTGCAAGATGTGGAGAAGACGGCGTTCCTGACCCCCTGCGGGGTGTACTGCTACACCTGCATGCCTTTCGGGCTGCGCAATGCCGGGGCTACCTTCCAGTGACTTATGCACATCACCCTGGGTAGGTAGCTTGGGAGAAACGCTGAGGCCTATGTCGATGACATAGTGGTGAAGTCTCGGGAGGCAAAGACCCTGATTGAGGATCTAGAGGAGACGTTTGCCAGCTTACGCAAGGTGGACCTATGGCTCAATCTCATGAAGTGCGTGTTCGGAGTTCC